CCCCAAAACCCCAAAACCCCAAAACCCCAAAACCCCTTATTCATCCATAAAAGTTGAAGCATTAACATTTAAACTTCACCCATAATACTATCAATCAATTGATTGATCTCTGATTTTGAACTGATATAATTCTTACAGAATCTAATGGCCTTCTTCGATATCAGATTCCATTCTGACCTAGTAGAGTTATGGTGCTTCTTCAAAATAGCTATTGCAAAAAGAGTGTTCCAGAGTATCTGAAGAGATCCATGGTCTATAACACTTGGTTGTACTTTTTCCAAGAATATAGCTACTGCTTTTCCAAGTCCTGAATCTGATGAATTCGACTCGCCACAAACATCAATGGTTTTAGTGCCTTCTGGTAATTCAACAAAGCTCCCATCTGCCTTCTGCAGACTAGTGATCTTGCAATATTCAGGTTGAGCATGAGATGCTATATGAATAAATTAGAAATTTGAAGAAAACACCATGAGTTAAGCCCTGACAAGGTAAATGTTCTCATTTTTCCTACAAACTTTCTAAAATTGGCAAATTTTATCAAATGAGTATCTTAAACAGGCTTTTTGATAAATAGTAAAAATTAGGAAACAGAAAATTTCAAAAGATGTTCGAAATTAAACTAGGATTTTAATCAAGAGAATAAGCAAATTCTTTGCAATTTTGCTCTGTGACTTACTTGATAGAGTGGCAGTGTTTCCTGAGGAACCTGAAAATCCTGAAAAGGAAGCAGGTGGGTTTGATGAACCAAATAATTGACCTCCTGGAAAAAGTGGAGCCGAAGATTCAAAACCTGATGCTTTAGCTGATCCGAAAGTGGATCCTTGGGAGTTTCCAAAGCCTCCTCCGAATGAGCTCGATCCTTCAGCAGATTTAACATTGGATCCAAATAATCCTCCTCCAGAATTTGGAGCTTTAGAAGATGCTCCAAATAGTCCTCCTCCACTGCTGGAGTTTCCTGCTGCACCTCCAAAAAGACTTGTTGATGCTGAAGAACTTCCTGCAGAACTTCCGAAAAGGCCTCCTGATCCCTTCGGAGCTGATCCTCCTGAATTTCCAAAGGAACCTCCTCCAGAAGCACTTCCAAATAAAGAACCTCCTTTACCTCTAAACAAGACTCCTCCACTGGAATTTGATGAGCTCTCTATTTTTGTCAGGTCTATTTCCACAGTCTTCATTTCTTCTCCTCTTATTGAAAGATTTTTGATTCTCCCAAAGAAAGCTGTATCTTTACATAACACTTTATACTTAATAGATAGCTCCTCCTGAGTTACATCTAAGAGAGACTTAGTCACCTCAATCTTCTTGGGAACATTCTGTGGTTCAGGAATAGGACGGCTTCCCCCAAAAAGTCCTCCTGAGTTAAGTGCAGGAGAATAGTCTGAAGGAGACTCCTTCAAATAGAGAAAAAGGTGTTTGCAAGCTAAAGTGAATGGAGATTCCGTGAGTTCAAGATCATTAAGATATCAATTCAGTGGAACCTCACAGTACTCGTTTTGTCTTGAGAGGGTATTGAAGCACCTAAATTTTACTCACACTTCTGGATTAGCGAGCAAAATGTCGAATAGTTTTTGCTTGTCAAGAATCGTAAACAAGTGGAGGGACTCCTCTTCATAAGTATCATCAATTTTTGTGGCATATTTCAAGGTTTCTATTTCATCTTTTCCATCTTGGGTTTCTACAGTTTGGTACTTTATGGCTGGCTGAGCATCACCCCAATCGATGGAAATATTGGTCAATCCAGGTCTTGAGGCTTCTGAAAGAGAAGAGATTACTTTTGCATTTAGTTTGAGATCTCCATCTTCAGCGAAATGGTACTTTCCTTTGCCAGCTTTCGCAGACTCTTTGATAAGATATTGATCTGCTCCTGTTCCAATTCCGAATGAGTGGACTCTTGTATGTGAGCTATTCTCTTTTATATTAGATTAATGACATTTTCTCTATCTCATACACCTCCATCAGTTAGTAAAAACACATTTCTTGGGTAAGATCAATCATACTTAGACAGAAGAATGTGCTTTAACGGGGAATAAATGTTTGTGCCACCCATATCTTCTGTGTAAGACTTGATCTCATCAAGAGCAAGCATCTTATTTTCATCATTAAACTCAAGAGATTCTGGAGTGAAGAATCCGTAAGAACTACCAAAACTTACAATATTGAACTTAGAATCCTGGGGCAGACTCTGAATAAAAAGCTCAAGAGCTGTAACAGCGATTTGCATTCGAGAGCAACATCCCATTGACCCGCTTCGATCTATCAGAAATATGTATTCTCCAGAGGCTATTTCAGGGTCATCAAATTTAGAACTTCCCTCCTTTTGCTCTTCCTCAGTTAACTTTCCTTCCTCTTCATCTAGCTCATCTGAGATTCTTGGGATAAAGCTGAAATGAGAGACTACCTCATCAGGGTACTTCAGCGATCCGTACATCTTGACTTTAAGATCTCTGATCTTCTCAAAAGAGTAAGAGATTACTATATCTTTGTCAAAAACCCTATTTTGAGGAGGAAATTCAAGAATATGCACGTCTCCTTCTGTTGAGTGTGCCAAATCTTCATGGCTTACATCCAAATTAGTAAGCTGAGATTCCAAATCAAGAGTTATTTTGCCTTGAAAATTGGAAAAATTTGTTCCAAATGTGCTCCCTTCTTTGTTAGAAATGGGGAAAAAATTGCAAGGGAAAACAAAGGTAAATTGACCATGCTTAAAACTTTGGCATTTCAATGACATTTTTATATTGACAGAGATCTCTTTGCCTATATCCAAATCTCCAATATCAAGGTTTAAGATATCAGGGGTTGCTTCATTATAGTTGACCTTAACAGCAGTATGCCCTTGAGCAATAGCATCATCATACTTCTCTTCCGCTTTCTTCTTAGGCATGATATCTGTCTGGATTTCTTTATCCTCCATTTTGATAGTGACTCCAGTGACTGCAAACTCATCGCTCAAGGGAAACTTAAGCAGACATTCTATAGGATTTTCAGTTGTGTTCACAAAAGTTTGTGCAAGCTCGATATCTGCAATAGAATTAGATATTTGAGCATTAAAGTTAATATCTGTGACTCCAATTTTATTTTCTTGATTATTCTTATCGTAAATTCCTGCTACAGGAGGGATGACCCAGGTTGGATGTCTGACAAACCCTCATTTACAGGCAGCTCCACTACTAACCAAGGTCACATTGGCTTGTGGAAGTGGGACTTGGTAACTATTCAAGTTCTGGTTGGCTCCGAAAAGAAATGCCATCTATTTTTTTTACTTAAATTTAATTAATTTCCTGGCTTAAATACATTTTGGTAATCTTCTTAATTTTCGATTTTATGGGTCAAATTTGGGGTTTTGGGGTTTTGGGGTTTTGGGGTTTTGGGGTTTTGGGGTTTTGGGG